ATTCTGGGAGTTGAAGTCCACACATCTTCAAGCTGCCAAGGTTGAGAAACACTGGTTTAGATAATTCATAAATGTCACGTACAATGCCAGGGTATAAAAAAACCTGTGCTTGCAGGCTGGTATATTTATACATGTTTGATTATTAGGAACAACTCCTCCTGAGATGCCCACAAGCTTATATTTTGGTGAAGTTTAAGTTCTTTATCTAAGATTTGTTCTGAAACCAATTTTCTGTGCCAGGTCAAAAGCTTAGGGCTTTCTGAATACGTCTCATAAATCTTATGATCAGATCATCTTTCAGCAATGATTAATTGTACCTTCTACGCTATTATCAGTTCATCTGGCACAGTGCATCTAGGCAGTTTTCTTAAGAACTGACTTTTGCTTATAGGAACCAGTCTGAAAAAAAATGGGAAGGTAATGCCAAATAAAATAGATCAAATTCTATATGTAGTGATGCCAGTTTCCATAAAAAGACTCTATTTCCATGCATTGGTTCATATGTCTGCAATGTCTGTAATCCAGTCAGCCACCATCAAGGTCATATGCTGTTGCCATGGTCCAGTGTGTGAACTAAAAGTCTCCAGTGTTGTGGCAACTATGTGGAGCATTCCCACAGGTACGGGCTCTTCAATATTACTGCTTGTCTTAAGTAGCCCTAATAATAGTTAAATGTTTAGTCTATGGATAGGCTGTTCTTTTCATTGCAGGTTTTTCTTCAAAGGACCCCCAAGACTGTTTGATTTTAGTGGTAATGGGCTGTATTTGGGCTGGCATGACTTATGCAAAAAAAAAAGAAAGACTTTGCTATAAACATTCATTCAATTAGAACTGTTTATGATTTTTTTTTCTTATCCTGTTCTCTAACTTCTAGAGAAATACATTTGTTATGCTGAGCAGACACGTGCTGTATTAGCAAAGCTGGCAGCTCATGGAAAGAAGATGTTCCTGATCACAAATAGTCCTAGCAGCTTTGTGTAGGTGGTTTCTTTGAACATAAACCCATCAAAAATTTCATCTTAATGTTAACTGTCCATTGTCACTGTTTAAAATTCAGACTAGTTATGCTGGTGCTACTAAACGTTGGTTTACTTTGTATAGGGACAGAGGCATGAAGTTCATAGTTGGAAAAGATTGGAGAGACCTCTTTGATGTAGTCATTGTCCAAGCTGAGAAACCAAATTTTTTCAATGATAAGCGAAGGTGAGTTCCTTCCTGCTGAGTTATGAATATCTGGTGGGTCAAGGCCTGACCATCTGTAAGATGTCATTTGTCATTATGAACTTGATCAGGCATTGGAGTGTGCTGGAGAAACCCTTCTGAAAATGTGCTATTGCCCGAGACTTATTTATCCAGCATTGCCCCCAGGCTCAAAGTTGCATTTGAGCTGCTGTGCTGTCTGTCTTTAGAAGAGTAGCTGAGATGTATCTTTTGTCAATTCTTTAAAATAATTTTATTTATATTTTTATCTACCAGATTGTATACACTTGAATCTATGTGTGTGTGTGTGTGTGTGTGTTCACTGTAAACCATCTTGAATGTTCTCTCTGAAATGAAAGGCAGCATATAAATAAAGAAACCCACCTTGCAATTTATTTGTGTTGCCTGTGAAGTTGTCATATGGCATTCTAGGACAGGAGCTGGAGATGCTTATGGTTCTGCTACAGAGTCAGTCCTGATTGTCCCTCCAGTGCAGTATTGCTGCATAACTCCCAGTGTGATAGGTTAGAGACAAAGCTAGGCAAATGCATGAGAAGAGAAGGGAGGGCTACTTGTTAACTTTGATCTAGTTAGCTTGTTCTAAAGCGATGCCCTTCACATATTTCAGATTTCAACTGAATGAGTATCGGGGTTGCGACAGTTGAAGTCTAATGCAGCTGAATGACACCAAGCTGGATAAGATAGTATGAAGCCATACCTTAACCTTACCAGTTAGACTTCTGATGCACTTACTAAGAAATTTTAAAATAATATTTTCAGGTATCATCTGATAATATTTCAAATCCAGTATTCAATAGGCCGAAGTGGTAGCTAAATGCAGAATATTTACTTCCCATGTGTACTTTTTCTTCACCTTAATCTCCTTATCAGAAAACTGCAGATCTCTGGTTATCCTAGACTGGTGTTTTGGCAACTCTGCATAACAGTTTTTCCCTATCTGTGATTTTATTATTCTAGTGGCAACTCTTTGCAACTACTGGTGCTTGATTTTTTTCTCTTCTTTTTGTTTAGACCTTTCCGTAAAGTGAATGAAAGGGGTGTTTTGCTTTGGGACAAAATTCACGAATTGCAGAAAGGCCAGATTTACAAGCAGGTATTTTTTGTTTTATCAAACATTTATCTGTACTTTCAAACTAGTTAAGAATCATGATAAAGTAAAACAGGAAATCTAAACAATTAAAACAATGGTTATTTCATATTTGTGTGTACTTTATATTATATATGCAATCTTAATTAATATTGTTACAATAACTGTGTTGATCAGATATTTATATGTCTTTGTGGATCATAAAGACAAAAGATCAGAGAATCAGATCAGAGATGAGATATTTGGGTTCAAATCTTCTTGGTAACCTTGGATAAACTGTTCTATTTTCATTCCCCATCAGGCTGGACTTTCCTTGCTGCTGCTAAAGTAGATCCTTCACTTTAAATTGTAACAGTTAACATTGATCATGGGGAAAGGGCTATAGCTCAGTGATTGAACTTCATTACCTTAAAAAGGATTCTAGTTCAGACCCTGTGTTCTCCTGGTAGGGTTGGAGAAGTCTTCTATCTGAATACTGTTCAACACTACTAGTTATTCAATGAATACTGAGATTATTGATCTGATTTGCTATACTGTATCTTCCTGTGTTCAACCTTGAACTGTAATATAATGGTCCGTAAACTGAAACAGTTTCTCCAGAATTAGTAACGCTTGATGAAAGCTTGAAGAACTCAAATAGAATCAGTTGCTTTCATTTTTAAGTCATAGATTCAGCCTTTGACACTGCCATAGGATCAGTCTCTGAAATTCCTATTCAAGGGACTAGGAAAGACCAGGGACTCAGGAAAGTTGATACCACTTCAAATAGTACCACATGAATTGGGCAGAATTTGTATTATAGACTGGCTTTCGCAAACTGCATGTGCAAGATAAAATAGCCCAAAATATTAGTCTTGTTGGTCTAGACAACAGCTATTCTTCTCACGTTCCCCTCTCCCCAAAATTGATCTTAAAAATATTCCTTAAAGGAATTTAAATTTAAAGGAGAGAAGCTTAATTTAGGCAAGCTTACCAGTAACAGCAACAACACAGATTTAATCACAGGGGTAGTAGATTAGAGGACATTTTGCCTTAATAAGAACATTGAAATCAGATTTCTAGATTGACAATAACAACATTTTGCAGGCAACTCCTAATATTTACTACTTCCCTTCTCCCAACTCTTCCTTTTAGGGTAACTTGTATGAATTTCTGAAACTGACTGGTTGGCGAGGTTCCAAAGTCTTGTATTTTGGTGATCATATTTACAGTGATCTAGCTGTGAGTACTTTCTTCCCTGTGTATTTTTTTAAATGAAGCTGGTATGGTCCAGAGGGATGGGTGATATGTAATGAAATTAATTAAAGTAGAGGGCTACTTTAAATATAAGAAAGAGCAAAGGACCACGTTTCTGCACTAAAAGTGGGAGAAAGTCATGGGTAGGATTATTCTGCTCTTCAGAAAAAGATAAGGCTCTTACCTTACCTGCTATGTATATTTTTTGAGTTTGTTTTGTTCAGCTTTCATCAGCCTGTTTCTTCCTGGTAGCAGTCACTTGCTAGAATAATAATGGAAATAGAGCTCAGAGTTCCAAGTTTATAACTTTCCCTGCACTTGCTTCTGCAGATTATGATGACTGTTTTTATATTGTTAAAAATTGCTAACTAACCTAGTATAATCTTCCTGTTCCATTTAATGCAGGTCCTGTTAATATTTTACCATTTTCTGATCTTAAACTCCTTTCTCTAATTTACCCTCCTGTTTCTTCTGACCAAACAATATCTGATCAGCTATGCTTTATTTATTTACCCCTTGCCCTTAGGTCTGGTTACCTGGTTTAGAGTGGATTTGGTTTTTTTAACTGACTCTTTTCATTATTTGCATGACGGTATAACTGAGACACATTTAATTGTTGCTTATGTCAAAGTCCGAATATCTTCAGATGGCATCTAACCTGAAAGAATAGAAAGTATGCTTTAGGTGAAATTAAGAGGAACGCTTTTCTTTTTTGTGATCTCGGTTGGCAAAAAAGGATTTGACCTTAAAACACGGTTGGCGAACAGGGGCAATTATTCCAGAATTACGAAGAGAGATTAAGATCATGAATACAGAGCGATATATTCAGACTATGACCTGGCTACAAACCCTCACCGGATTACTGGAACACATGCAGGTTTGTTCTTTACTTCTTTGCAATCTTCCATCAGAACTGATGCATGTAAACTCTGGCTGGGATAGAGAGGAGATTAACCTCTTCTCTCCAGTTGTCCCCCCAACCACTTAATAATTATGAGGACCTTTTCCTAATATTATTTTGCACTTATAATGATGATAATGCAGTTCAAATTATTATGTGAAGTCACAATGCTGGCATTAAAATGCAAACATACATTTGTATTGATTTCACTATATGCCGATGAAGCTGTGTTTTTTCAGATAAAACCTCTTGATGTTTCTTGTTCAATCTGTGTTACCCATCTGTTATATTTCTAATTATGTGCAAATGTGGTCTCTTTTAAAACTTGCAAATTTATATGTCCTTATTGTTGTCATTTCAGATTCACAAGAATCCTGACTGTCAGATGATATTACATGAGTGGAAAAAGGAAAGAAAGGAAATGCGGTAAATATTAAAATTGAATACCATATATACTTGTGTATAAGCCCATCCAAGGATAAGCTGAACCCAATTTTTGGGGTGTATTTTGGCACCTAAAATTCTCAGGTTATCCGCAATCATATATGGTACTTATTCTAAGTTTTAAAAAATTGACCCTGTATATTAATTTGTAGTAAAATAAGGCTAATCCTTACTTACTTCATTTTCCTAATAACTTTGTTAATAGCAATAAATAATGCAACAGGGAATTCAGCTCCATTGAATTCTAAATGTTTACTCTTAGAAAAATGATAACTTTTTTTTTTTTTAGTTCTGTCTCTTGTACCATTAATTATAAGACTAAGCAAGCATATTTGATGTGCTTTAAGTGATAACTGTCAGGATTGTAGAGCTTACTTGCAGAGTCTATTTATTTATTTTCAAGATTTGTAAGGCTACCCAACTCAAACAGTGTGACTCATAAACATATAATAAATCAGATGTGTTTGTCTTTTGGCCCCATCTGTCCCCATCTCACTTGCCGCATGGCACATTTACCCTTGATAGGTGATTGAGCATTGAGTATAGTTTTGCTTAAGGCTACATCATGACTTTGTTTATGAGAAATAATTCATCATGTCACAGTGAGAGATCAAATTAAGCCAAAGTAGTGTAGGTCAGGGTTAAAGTTTTGAATCCACATTCAACTATGGAATTCACTGGATTATTTTGGACTCCCTCTCTTAAGCCTCCGAGGGTGGTGGTTGTGGGGAAAAAAATAAGGAGAGACCCCATATATGCCACATTGAATTCCTCATGGAAAGGTGGGACATAAATGAAAAGATGGTAGAAGTATATATTTTTTCTCCTTTCTTGAGCTGCCTTTCTTCAATGGACAGCTTTGATTTTGAAGGCCTTTTCGATATAAAAACAAATCTGTCCTAAACATGCTAAATATCTCTGGTCCAAACAAATCTTTCATGGTATATAATGCATTGACAATTCTAAATGTTTTCTTTTTCCCTTCTCTCATCAGAGAAATGACCAGGAATTTCTTCAACTCTCAGTTTGGAAGCTTATTCAGGACTGACCAAAACCCCACCTATTTCTTAAGGCGCTTGTCTCGCTTTGCTGATATTTACATGGCGTCGCTGAGTTGCCTGTTGAACTATGACCATGATTATACATTCTATCCACGAAGGACTCCTTTGCAGCATGAACTCCCAATGTGGTCTGACCAGCTGTGCACTGGTACATTCAGAATCCCATTTCTGCAAGAGATGATTCAGATCAAATAACCTCCCCATTTTTTTGTAATGTAATGGTTACCATATTATGCAGTGGCTCCGTAAAGAACATTTATTGTAAGAGCAACTTTTTCTATGGCAGTTGGTTCTTGCTGTACATGCTATAGAGCAAACGTGTCTGTTTAGTTGCTCTCTCATTTTTTTTTAGTGAAAATTGATGAAACTGTGGTTGCACTAAGAACTGATTCTTTCCTCCAGTTGAATATTTGCTGGCATGGAAAATTATTTGCTCATAAATTTACATATAGCTTACAATACCTGTAATATTCATCTTATGTACTCTAACCAGAGGGTCATTGCTTGGAATTTGGGCATGATTTAAATCCTCATTCAGATTAGCTAAAAGCATAGCTACTGTTCTACTATATGGGGAATGTAAAATCTCTACAAGCTTTCAAACCCATGCAGGGCTGGGTAACTTCATATTTGCTATTTTTAAAATCAGATAATCGGAAAATAGTTTTTAGTGGATAGAAGACTTAAGTTCATGTAGCGTTCACCCAGTTTTTTCACAGACTGCTTGTGTTTTCCTCAGGCAGCCAGGAAATCTGCAAGTAGAAAACCAGATTGCGTTGCCTGCATTGAACTGATCTGAATTTTCATCATACAGATTTCCAGCCAATGAAAATTGACAGGATAGTAAGTGACGAAAAAATTGGTGGTAGAAACACTACAAAAGCACCCCAAATGTAGAAACAGAAAAATACATCTCTTAAAATGTGTTCAAGGTGATCATTTTTATAATATATAACTGATCTGTATGAAGAATTAATGGAAGATATGGATATAGAGTAGAGCCTTATAGCACTGGACACTTTAGTAGAATGTCATCATGTACTTTGTCTAAGAATTGTATTTTATATATTGAGGCTGCAATCCTATGCTCACTTTCCTGGGAGTAAGTTTCATTGAATGCAATAATAGTTTAGTAGATATATAATAGTAAGGGTTATTGGCCTGTCTTCATGATAAGAGTGAAACTGTCACAATTTTAAAATTCTCTTCCAGGATGATAAAAAAAAAGATGAAGTTTTTTCTCTCATTTTTTAATTCTTATTCCCATGAAAGTGGGACTATGCATTTAAAAGGCATATAGGCTAAATGTTTGTGGGTTTTAAGTCAGTTCTAAATGTGCTTACTCAGAAGCACGTCCCACTGCTTTTAGCAGGACTACAACTGCTATTATATTTGTTTCTTGAGTTCAACAGTTAAACAAATTGTGTATTAACTTAAATACAGTACATAAGCACATTATGTATTAATGTGCTCTTGAGTACATTAATAAAATCTTAAATAGCAACACTATTTCTATGCTGATAATGAAACAGTAATATAGCAAGAGCTTTCATCTAACAGTCCCCTGCTAGTAAGCTATTTCAACTAATGGAACAACACAAACTTTTTTAAAACTGTTTTGATAGCCCATAAAAATCTAAATGTTAGAAGTTGGTAGTTAATATGCCAGTTTAAATCTAAACAGTAAAGTGGCATAGTAACTGCTGTCTAGTTACTAAAGAAATTATTCAATCCTGAAACTGTTTAATTTGCAGTTCCAATTGTTTCTAAATGTGCTGGAAGTTTTTAAAATGCTTAAAGGAGTAGAGTGCAATTTTCATGGGCATCGCAGTCCATCTATTTTGATAATCTTGAAATATAACATTCCTTAAAATATTTATAAAAACTTCATGTATTTTATGAAACTATTCAAAACATAGCCAGAATTTATTCTTATATTTATTTTTAGGAAATAATTTGGCTCCCCAAATGCTGCTTAAATAAATATTACAAGTTTACAAGTTTGTAAAAGCATTTCTATATAGGAATTTGCAACTGCATTGATAGTATATTTTTAATTTTTGTGTTGTGTAATTTAAGAACAATTAGCTGGCATTATTCCATTTTGGTCCCAAATATTCACATTTCTTGAAACAGACTTTCAAGATGGGTGAACATATCTCCTGGTTCTCCCTTTGGTTTCAGAACTATGGTTTCAAGGCTAAATCCTTGAACAAATAACCCTTAAGAGAAGAACTGGTCTTTCTGCATTTCTGCTACTATCACAGTTCTTGTGCCCAGCTAGTTGGTGGTCATGTCATAAGGGTCTCCTGTACTGCAGTACTAAGTCAGATTTGCAGAAGATGCTAATATTGTGAAAGATGAATGAATCCACACTTAGTGTGAGGATTCCCCCCCCCCCATAGGCTTTTCATAGAGATTCAACTATCCCAACTATACTCCCCAAAACTCCATTTTCACATGGAAAGTTTTCATGGATTGTTCCCCACCTTCTTGATCCCTTCTTTTAAATTCCCTGATCACGTTGATTACTGAGAGACTTGAGCCCATCATACAGTGCTGCTGCAACATTACGCATGGTAGACATGGAACTGTACTGAAGTGGAATGCATGCTTTGATTGACTTAAGGCCCTTTGTTGGGGAGAATAACACCTAGCTGAATCATTACCCAAACAGCATCAAAATAGTTTACCTTCATATTTTGTTGCCTAATTGTTTTAACTAACAATAGAAAGCTAAATGGAAAATCCAAAGGACAGAATTATGTGACACAGGCTGGTAGCTCATAGGATGACATTACTTGAACAGCATGTATCAGTCCTCCTAGCTTGTCTGGATAATGTTTATTCACAATATTAAAAAGTCAAATTAGCATCGATTCTGAAAATCAGGCACAGTGTAAAATCTTCTGGAGCTTAGCTGTTCTTGTATTAGCATATGCTGTCAAGTCCTGTGAACCTAGTAATTATGAGCATTCCTGCCGACCATGCTAGCCATTCTGAGATCTGCTTTGGAGAAGGGTTCTTTTACTGCAGAATAAAACTTTATTTCTTTGTATAAAGTACATTCTTTGGTACCAATTGCTGCTACAGGTTTTTTTTAATGACATATATTGTAAAAGTGTTGTGCATGAAATGTGACTACGGAGAGTCCTTGCATATGCAGCTACAAAACATTTTAAGAGAATGTTATGGATATTAATTTCAATATTTGTGTCCTTGCTCTGATGTAATTTTGAACTTTTAAAGCACACTTAAATTCTAAAACTTCTCACTTGCAATTGTCGTGGACTTTTGTCAGTATGTAAACTTTTGTCAGTATGCTTTATCTGAATACCAAAAGTGAGACAAGTTCATTTCTCAACAATTTGAAGGCAACAAGGAAAACAACTGATCCTTAAGCTGGAACTTCTTATTGGAAAAATATTTTCATACATACAAAAATACCTTTCTAATAATACAGCATTGTTAACTTACAAACCAATAAATATTTTACTACAGACATTTACTGTAATTAGCCTAGAATTCAATGCAAGGTTTTAAAGTAGAAAGCTGGTGGGTGGCTGGGAAGGGAAAGAACTTCAATAGAAACATGCATTGTGTATTTGAAGGTGGGGAATATACAGATCGAGTTTATAGCTAATGGTTTTGCTACATAGTGTCTATTTCAATCACAGTACAGGAATGAAGTAGCAAGAATAAATATTAGTTAATTCTACAAATATTAGTAAAAAAAAATCTACAAGTAGAGTGGATGCAAACATGCTTCTTTAGATTACTGTTCTGAAAGATGAGTTATAAACATACAGTGCATGTTTTGGTTTCTCTTATCAATGTCGCTAAGGTATTTTTATGTTATCTAAAATAAGATATTAATGTGAATATGATGGACCAGACACTTCTCAAAGCTGATGAAAAAAGCTTTTTGAGTAGTAGCTGTTGGGAAAAGTCACTACTCTCCTTGGTAGCACAATGTAGTAATTTTGTTTATGGAAAAAAAAACTTGCTGAGTTATGAATTTGTTGGAAGTATATAAACTGCTTCTATTCATAAATGGGTTATACATAAAGGTGAAATCTAGAGCAAGTAGGTGAATTTGTCTATCTTGGTATAATGTTTTTTAAAGGTGGGAGAATGGAGAAATGCTAAGTAGGTATTAGCAAGTGCATAATTGCTAATAGAAAGGTAGTGAGAGTCTGTAGCCTGCAAGAAATTGTCAGAAAAAGCAATAATGGTTGTGTATATGTGCATGCTTCTGTTCACTTTGTTATATTGAACTGAGCATTCTCCTATGCTGGAGAAAGAAAAGTTATGTTTGTGTGGGAGAACAAGAAACAGGGTCAAGAATGAGGGTGAACAATGAATGGGGATTGAATACAAAATGAGTATATTGAGGTGGTTTAGCCATGTAGAGAGAATGAATAAGTATCAAATTGGAAAGGAGAAGATATAAGTCATAGTCCTCTTTTTACCCTCAAAAAGAGAGAGGCAAGAAGTTAAAAAGAATAAGACTTACAGGTAGTCCTCTACTTATGACCACAATAGGGACTGGAAAATTCTTCATTAAGCAGCGCGGTTGTTAAGCAAGGGATCATGTGCCTGCACCCAATTTTACATTTTTTATGGTGATTGTTAAGCGAATCATGCAGTCATTAAGTGAATCACGTGGTTCCCCATTGATTTTGCTTGTCAGAAGCTGGCTGGGAAGGTTGCAAATGGCAATCATGTGACCCCGGGTCGCTGCAACTGTCATAAATACATGCCAGTTGCCAAGTGCCCGAATTTAGATCACGTGATTGCACAGGCGCTGCAACAATTGTAAGTGTACTGTATGGGTGTGGTGGAAGCAAGGATGATTTGTATAGTTGTACAGATGTATGTAGAAACATGTAAACTCTTTCTACTCAAATCTCTCATTATAAAATCTTACAATTAAGTTTATATAATTATAAGATACAATCTTTAATACTTTCAAAGCAGCATGTCCAACCTCTCTACTATTCATTTGCTTGGACAGTCTGGTGTTACAAATTATGTTATTGCAAAGTATTACAGGTAGTCCTCACTATTGGACCACAACAGGGACTGGAATTTGGGTCGCTAAGCAATTTGGTTGTCAAGCGAATTGTCATGTGACCAGAGCTGATTTTGCAACCTTTTTTACTACAGTCGTTAAACAAATCACCGTGGTCATTAAGCAAATCAGATGGTGGTTAAGTGAATCACATGGTCGTTGAGTGAATTCTGATCATGTGACTGCAGGGGTGGTGTGACAGTTTGCAATGTCACAAGTGCGGGTACAGGTCATAAAGCACTTTTTCAAGGCTGTTGTAACATTGAACCATCGTTAAATGAACGGTTGTTAAGCGAGGACTACCTGTGTGATTTTTTTAAAAAAAACTGGAAATTGTAATGTTTGTGTAATATGTAATAAGTCATTTTAAAACATTTTTTTTTTTTAAAAAAGAGCAGAATATCTGTGTGTCATTCCTCTAATGACAAGTTTGGAGCAACCCAAACAGCATAGCTATATCCCATTTTTTTTACAAAATAAAATGCTGTTTTGTAATATTAGTTACTTCTGGAGCACATGGAAAAAAGAGCAAAACAAGGAAAATGGTATCTTGATATTAGGATCTGTATAACTAAAATGATAGAATTAGTTTCTAAGGAAATTAAGCAACATTCAGTTTCCTTAGGAATTTTCTGTGTTCTTCAGTGGCCCTTCCCTGAACCAGATGTGTTGTCTTGTATCTTCATTGTCCAGTAGGAAAATTATTTCTCCCAGTGAAGACATCAGAAATCATTGGGGGAATCACTGCTCACCAACTGCTGCTCATCGGAAACCTGTTTTTTAAAAAGTTTATAGTCAGCATTTATAAATAATGGTCTAATACTGATTGGCAAAATAGATGGCAATATATTACAAATGAAAGAACAGAGGGGTTCCTATCACCCTAAAATGTTTTTAATAATGCTCTCAAAGACTTGATTAAGCAGTTAAGTTCTTGCCTGCTTTCAAAACACAGCCTGGAAACAGGCCAAATGTAAATGCCTCTTGTCCATGGGTCCATTGCTAAGAAGTCCCTGTTCCTAATAGGTTTTCAGAGCAGGATGGGGTGAAAGACATTATTCAGGGAGCAGATGCTATTGAACAGGGAACCTACTGAGATATTGAAGGATCTTGTCCTGCTGTTAATATTCAAGACAAGGTTTAAGGAACTGCAAGGTGGGCTTCTGTGTGCATATGGAATTGGTAGCATTGTACTTATCTCAGGCAGCAGTATGGATAAGGGCAACCTTGCAGAGGATGTATTCCAAATGCAGCCTATCACAGAATGGTTGGGTTCAAACATTGCACTAAATATAATGTGAGGGGGGTTTGTTTTGACCCTAAAACAACTTATTTTGAACTGGGCACCATGCTGGGACCTTCTGTCATGCCTGAGAAGTGTAGAGAAACAGCTGGCAATTCTGTGAAGTTGCCTTCCAGAAATTTAAGGCAATCTTGAACTAACCCTAAAAAGTATAGTCCTACCCAATCAGGGTGCTACTGCACAAAGTACCCTTAGTATCCATCTCTTAGTGTGTGGTGTAACTCCAGCCATTATGGCTTATTGATGGATTTTCTGTTTTAAAAAAACAATTTATGTAGAAAGCTAAATGGCAGAGGGAAGAGCTTGATATTGTCACAGATACAGTTTTGTGTGTGTGTGTGTGTGTGTGTGTGTGTATCATGCCCCCCAAGCATACTAATATGAAGAGGAACATGAATAAAATACAGTACAAAATGAAATTATTTTAAACAACTAAAATAAAATCTACATCAGTAACTCAAGCTTTTTCCACTTCAGCATGTTAGTCAGGAATGTTCTGAGAGTACTATTTGTATATTAGTATAATTATATACCAGACTACTGGAAAACTTTGGTCCTGTTATGTTGGCTAAAAAAACTCTTAAATGTGCTGATAGTTCTGTTACTAAAATAAGATAACATTAAAATCATGTCTCTTAAGTAGAAGCCACAATGGCGTACATATTTTGTTTTACAGCTAAGTTCTGGCTTTGACCTATTTTAAAAGCAATTTTCCCCATCAGAATAAAATCTTACCAAAAATGGATCATAAGGAGGATCTGGTGGAGGAGCAGATGAACTTTCATAATTCGGATTTGAGATGTTGGTAGATTGTGCTTTGTCCAATGTAGTTACATCAATGTCATCTTTTTCCTATATGGTATTTTTAAAAGAAAAGTTTATGCTTAGATTTATTATAAAGAAAGAGCCAGTTTGGCATTGGGCTAGAAACTCAGAGTTATTGGAGTTCTAATCCTGCCTTAGGTTCAAAGCCAGATGGGTGACTTAGTCACTCTCAGCCCTAGGAAGAAGGCAATGGCAAGCCACCTCCAAAAAACATCCAAGCAGTCGCCAGAAGTCAAGACTGACTTGAGGACACCAAAAAGCAAAACAAATAAAAAAGGAAGTCAGAACTTATATGATGGCTGTATTGATAAGTTATTTTAATACTAGGGTTTGATCATCAGGAATGGACTAAAATAAGCCTCATGTGCTTCTGTGTCCCTTCCTATTCCTTCTAGATTGTATTCCAGCTTGACTGCAGTGTTGGATTCAGTCTGGGGTTAGACCCTAGCTACCAGGAGAAG